GTGAACACACTGTACAGAGGGGTTACAATTACATGGGCAGGTTAATGAGTACATTTCTTATCAAGCATTGCAGCCTCCTCCTTTGTTTACCCTTCACATCCCTTCCCAGCCATGAATACATTTCTTATCAATCATTGTTGCCTCCTCCTTTCTTTCTCCTTATCATCCCTGCCCTCCTATCCCCCCCTCTCCTGCCGCCAAAGTCACGAAGTTTGTTTTTTGACATAACGTTTTGTACCTCTCATTGTTGCCATGGGTCCACCTGTATCCTTATTTAAACAATGTTTTTTCCCTTCCCCTCCACAAATTATACCAACATCAAATACAGTGAAAACAGGGGTTATGCCATGGGGGAGGGATATACAAAGCAACAAATAATCATCTTATAAATATATTAGAAGCAATAGCAAGAAAGAAAAGTCATTCGAGTTCTTATCCAGGGGTTGATTTCACCTAACATCAACTTGTCTGACCATGTCTGCTTTAAAAAAAACTGTATGAGAATATTTTTAAGCAAAGGTAAATTCAAAATTCCTACTACTCAAAAATACATAATGATAGTGTAGAAAAGGACCAACAGCCTGCCACCAATGGCTCATTTCTGAAATCCTATCTACTAAGGAGGCTAATTACCAGTTAATTATCAAAAAGATGGGAAGAAGAGCAGTGGCTCAAGTGGTGGAGCACCTGCCTTTAAGTGAAAAGTTTAGGGACAGTGCCCAGGTCCTGAATGCCAGCCCACCCTTAAAAAACAACAGAAATAGAGAAGCTTGTATAATCCATATAATCAGTATATTGGAATATATATATGTATGTCATGTTCAGCCTGGTTCTCTAACTCCTGTTGATACTTTACTCCAAAGTTTTCCCATGGAATTTTTCATCTCTGAATTTCTCAAGGTATAGATCAAAGGATTCAGCATGGGGGTGACAATGGTGTAGGAAACAGTCACATATTTATCAATGGGCAAGTTGGAAACAGGTCGAACATACATAAAAATACAGGGAAGGAAAAACAGGACAACCACCGTGATGTGGGAGCTGCAGGTGGACAGGGCTTTGCGCCTCCCCTCCTGACTGTGAGTCTTAAGATTGTTCAGGATGACGCCATAGGAGATGAGGAGGAGAATGAAGACCACCGTACAGATGGCGCCACCATTAGCAACCACAGTGAGGCCTACAACATAGGTGTCGGTGCACGCAAGTTCCAACAGTGGGAACATGTCACAGGCAAAGTGATCAATGATATTAGGACCACAGAAAGGGAGATTATACACAATGACAACTTGAACAATCGAGTGTCCAAAACCTCCAGCCCAGGTCACCAGCAATAGGAGGATGCAAACTCGTCGATTCATGATGGTCAAATAATGCAGTGGCTTACAGATGGCTACCCAGCGATCATAGGCCATCATCACCAAAAGGAACACCTCAGCACCCCCAAATAAGTGTGCAATGAACAGCTGGATCATGCAAGCTTGGAAGGAAATTGTCTTTATCTCACAGAGGAAGTCTGAAATTATTTTGGGTGAGATGGCTGTGGAATAAAAAGCATCCATGAATGATAGATAAGCAAGGAAGAAGTACATTGGGGAACCTAAGGAAGGGCTGGCAATAATGGTAGCCACAATGAGCAGGTTGCCTACCATGGTCACAATGTAGCTGAGTAACAACAGGATGAATAATACTTTTTGCACATCAGGATCCTGAGTAAAGCCCAGGAGGACAAATTCTGTGACATTGTTTCTCCCTGCCATCATTTGCTCTTCTATCAGGCTGGCTATAGAGACAGCAAGTCAGGACAAGAGGACTTTTCAGGAAATCATGGACAGGACTAGGACCCTGTGCATCATGAGGACAGCTCCATTGTGTCTACTACATGGCGAACACACAGAAAATATTTAGTTCCCATCTGCTGAGTTCCTCTTCCAAGAAGCACATCAGCACTTTTGGGGGACAATCCTATTTCCTCTTGGATTGCCAGGTTAGGCTACAAGTACAGCCTTCTACCCCAAAGTCAGTAGTTCCCTAGAGAGAAGAGTAGAGAAAAGTGTATCTATTCTGTATACATTTAAAACTATGTATGTTACCACTTGACACAAATCTCAACAATCACACAAGGAAAATTTTTCTCCCTTTATGATACCTATCATGCTCCAGTACATATAATTCCAAAATACAACTACTAACATAAATTCATCCTTTTACCTTGCTATGTTTGTAGAGAATAACATTTCAACATGATCTGTGTAACACCAAAATTTACATTTGTCCTTCACACCAATTCAGTGCTATGAATTGCTCTATTAGAGGACTTGAGAGACACTTTCAAGTTCCAAAGTAGATCCAGTATTAACATGAGTCATTAAATATCAAGAATTCTGACTCTGAACTGTATCAAATAACTCCAGCATTATTTAGTTCACTTGTAGTTATGACAATTACTAAATCTATTGATGACCACCATTTTTATTAGTAGCTATAATTCTGTCCATTTCCTTCAAGTCTATACCAATTCCTAACATATTTACCTACCTTCTCTGTTATGATTTTTTGCAAACATTTTAAACTAACCCATTTTAGCAAACATTTAAAGCTAACTCATTTTTCTCACCAACTATTACATCAGGATCTAAGTTTCTATATGTAAGCTTTACTAGTTACTGGGGAAGCTCAAAACAGAACTTCAGAGTTGAGATTCAAAAGAGAAGTACCATGTGTTTTACTACGTATCAGCAATGTAGCAATACTTTTCTGTGAACAAGCGTATTTTGACTAAGTGCAACTAAGAAAATGTCATTTGTGGGAATTCTATGGTGAATAATACATACCTAGAGTCTGAGTTTCTTTCTTAAAAAGGCAGTTGTGAGAAACATTCTACATGTCTCATTCATAATATTGACCCATTCAATATTATGATTTGTGGTAGTCTTGCTTGATTATATAGATGAATTAAGGCACAACTTCTAAAGACCATAATATAAATATTTTATGTCCATTTTTGTCTCTTCAACATCTTCTTTTTGCCTACATAATGCCTCTACTCATCACTTTTTAGAGCTGTATTTCATCAGGGCAATCCTTTTATTGGTCAGTTTAATTATTTGAATATTAGAGCAAAAATAGAGTTTTCAAACTATATCATACTTAAAACATATAAACTTTCCTGTAAGTTATCACACAGTTGCTGATGCAAAAGGGAAAGAATAATATGAGTATGTTTCACTTAAACATTAAAATAATGTTATTATTAATGTTATTAATAAATAATATATAACATTGTAATTATGTTATAAAATTATAATTTGTGATATAATAACTTAATGTTATTCACAAGTAATATAGGTTAATAATACAAAAATAATAAATCATAGATTAATAAATAATAAAATTAATGCCAGTTTTACAAACATGACTTTGAAACTGATAGACTTACCATTACAAAAAATACCCAAATAGTACATCATATTAACTAATAAATCCAACAGAAATAGAGAATATACTAATCTGATCATAGATTTTCCTATATATGCATACTAGCACATTTGCTGGAATCATATAAAGGTGTATGCATAAAAGATAGCATTAGCTTTCAGTGTTCCCTTATAGTCTAACAAATTTTATATAATATCCAATTTAAATACTATCATTGAAATATATGCAAAATAAGTACATTTCTTTGTTAACATATCATGCAAATTATAATATTCCATAAACTACACAAATGAATTTTGGTGTTTTTGTTATGCATCTTATATGCATCATTTCTTATTTGGAACAATAGGAAAAAACACAATCAGGCCATGCTATTTAAACCTATTAGGATTTGTATATTCTGATTAAATTCTGTGACTTGCCAACAAATATTTACAATTTCAGATAGCACTTGTGAAGTTACATGTCCTCTAACATATTGGCTATATTTTAGTGTATCACAGGACCAGTTAACTAGTATCCCTTCCCCAGGTTTTACTCACTTACTTCTTAAGTAATATCCTCATTATAGAAAAGTCAAGTTATTTTATTGAGGGTGATTTCCGATAGTTCCATGTGCCTGTGAATCTTCATAGAACACATGGAAATATATGGCTGGTTAGCTGACCTAGATATCACCAAGTGGCTACAACAAACAAACCAACACAGGATTCCCATTATTGGTCTTTCAGAGGATTGTAAGATTTTCTTACCTAAAATCTAAATGTATTTAAATAAAATGCCAATAGCTACAAGATGGTATACAAGGTGCTGGGTGCTCTTACCTTCATAGGAAATGAGTATGAAATCTTTCCATGGCTATAAAAAACTGACCTGACAAAAATTCACCAAAACCATTACTTACTAGCATAAATAAACAAAAATATAACAACCATAAAATCACTTATTTTTCCTCTTCCATTCAATTGAGATGAAGCATCAATCAATCTGCCACAGATTTGTGTATCTAGTTTCTAGATCATACAATGATCATGTTTAAATTCCATACAGAAGGTTATGTTTCTTAGTATAGAAGATGGAAGTTCTCAGAGATAGAAGCACACTCTTGGCTCTTTCAGTCACTCAAATAGCATCATCCCAAATGGTGTGTGTTTCCTCCTTATCAGAGTATGTCCACATGCTTAGAACAAATTTAGCCTTCCACAAATGTTTTTATAAGCAATCATGGATACAACATCCATCAGGACACACATAGAACGCTAAATACCAACTGAAGACATATTCAAACTTGGACTGATGATGAGTTTTCAGAAACCTTTCTAGCCATTTATCAGGAAAACAGTACCATTACCTATGTATGAAGAAAGACTGTGACCTTTTGTATCACCTCTCTGCTTTAATAGGTTAGCTTGTTAGAATAGCTGGAACTAATTCAAATGAAGCAATCACTCCTAAACAGGTTTCTTCCCCCCTGACCAATCCCTAGAGGAAACAGACTTGGATCCTGTGAAGAATGAGTAGTTGGGTGCCAACTGATAGGAGCTTATAATTTATAAAGAAAATTTCCAAGTTGTAATGATTGAAAAACTATGAGTTACAAATGATGAACTACTTAGCTAAGGCAAGTTCTATCTAAAAGAAACCAGGTGAAGGAAACCATAATGATCTCCAATCTGTCAATTCAATCCTTTAATTTCAATTTGAATTATTTGAATGTCTATTTCCCACATTCAGATATTTATTAGTTTGGCCATTGTATATCATCTTTTGAGAAATAGCTATTGAAGTCCTTCACCTCCATTAACTGATTGTTTAGAGTGTTTTTAGTTTCTTATATATTCTGTATAATAACACTCTGTCAAATTAAGTGTCTTTCTCACCCAGTCAATTGGGTGACAAATAGTCGTAGACTGTTCCCTCTACTCGGTGGAAGCTTTTGTGTTTGATAAATCTTGTAGTTGTCAATATTTTGTTGCTTTTATGATTTATCCAGAACTTTTTGCCCAATCTATTGAAGAATTTCCTCTTTGTTAACTTCTTTTCACTCATATTACCTTTAAGTAGTTGTACAAAGGAGTTGCCCTTTAACAAAGCAGTTTGTGAATATAATATATCTTGATCAATTTCACCTCCTTCAGCATCTTTACCCATCCCTTTCCTACCCCTCCCCCCTCACTCCCCTTAATATTGTAGTGTATGTGTTGGATTCTAATCAGCATTTTCCTCCTTTTCTCTCTTTTTCTCTGTTTACCTCATAGTGTGAAGGCTTTTCTCCACTTTGAGTTGGTTTTGGTAGATGAAGAACAATAAAAGTTTGAACTTCATTCTTTGTGGATTTCCACGTTATCCATTACCATTCATTGAGTAGGTTTACCTTTCCCCAGTGCAAATTCTTGTTAAATGCATTGGATATAATTAGGTTGTAAATACAAAATATTTGGGGATCACCAATTAGAAAAAATTAGCATAGCATGCATAATATCCATAGACCAGTTTATTACATATCCACATCTGCTAGTTTGATTCTTTAGTGAATATCAGGATATAGATATATAGGATGTATAAATTGTAGTGTACCTGGAACAACAAAACTACTGGAACACTGTGAGATGATAGGCATGTTAATTTGCTTCACTTCACTGAATATTTTGATATTAGTACAGCTCTTATGCCATACTGTATAACTAGGCAAAATAAAACATATTTCAACACAAAGCAAAATAACCACAAAATATAGATAAGGTACCATATTTCAGTGAAAATAAATAAACATACATCCTGCTTTTTTATGTTTCAAGATGAAAGTAGATGGAAAAAACTTTCCCTTTTATGACATACATTTATATGCCAACGTGTTATTATACCAAAATATACTCTTTGCATCTCTATTACAAATTTTTGCAGTACAACCTTAAGAAAACATTCCACTTATACATACAACACATTTATTTCATCAAGTCAGGATGACATACTTTGACTATTTTTAAATAGCTAAATTTTACATTAGGTGGGGAATTTTGAAAATGCATGTTTACCACATTAACATAGTTTTAAAATCCAAGTATTTTTCTTTCAAGAAGAACTAGAGTCTGCTTTTGTCATCAACCACAATTACATCTAACAACACTTCCACAATAGTGTCATTGGCAGTACTATCTGTCACACAAATATCCTGAGTGGAAAATACACAGGCAGTGATCTGATAAAAATATCAAATGTTGATCAAAAAGGAACAACACATTTATCAAAATCCCTTTGGTCCCACAAATTTGTTGAAATCTACTTTTATAAATATGATGATAACAAATTTTAAGCCAGTAGC